TGAGGTAGTACGGGCTGCCGCTGACGAGCGCGGCGCCACCCTTGAGGTGGTCTGCGGCCGCCCGCGCACCGCCAGCGCTGCGCGCGTAGAAGCGCTGCAGTCCCCGCATGCCTGGGTCCACGTCCAAAGCTTTTGTGTCTCCTTTGGGTGAGTGCGAGGGAGGGACCCCACCGCTCTCGGAGTCCACCTGCCGTAGCGGCACTGAGAGAGCAGTGCCACCACTGTTGTTGTTCTTCGTGGTGGTGGTGGTGGTGGTGGTGGTATAACCGGCGGAAGTGATGGTGGAAGTCACTGGCGAAGCGCTGCACGCAGCGGAGTGCGAAGGGCCAACGGCCGGACCGCGATTCAGCCGCATAATGCGGTACTGCTGCTGCGGCTGCTCTTCTTCCCTAGGCATATGTCTGTCCGCTGCAAGCGCAAGAAGAAACGTGGAAAGACAGAGCATGTCGAAGGGGAGCGGTGAAGACAAGTCTGCAGCCACAGAGTGCACGTCGCACAGGCACAGAAACAGGCACACCTCCGACAAGAGCGGCGCACGCAAGTCTTGTCCGCTTGACGCCCACCACCTCCTGGACGTAGGAGGGGGGGGGGAGGTGCAGCGATGCAGGCCAGCACAGCGGCAGCGCATGATCAACAACAACAACAACAAGCATAAAACGTTAAAACAAAAAACAAGCGCTCACACACCCTCCCTCTCTTGGTCCTTTGTACACACAGCCATACTACGCACAGGCACTGTCGCTACTCGCGCCGCTCTTTCCTGGGCTGCTTCTTCACCGAGAAGGACATGGCGCAGGCGCACGACTCGTCGACTAGCTCGTTGCCCACCACCACGAACGCCGACCCTTTCAACTCCGAGTGGAAGTCAATCACCGCCGAGAGCAACTTCGATGCGGAGTGTTTGTCCACCACCACACGCGGTGCGGGCTCTGCCCTGTTGTTTGTGCTGCTATTGTTGTTAACGCTGTCAGCCTCCGAAACGTCCCTTTCCGAAATGACGACGTCCTCCTCAGGCACCAACGAGTCGTTCGCCTCGAGGGAGAATTTGTATACGTAACCGTGGCAGCCGCCCGAGTCAATGGCAAGGCGCAAGAAGCGACGGTC